GGGTGGAGGCATGTCTGGTTTCAGATCCCAGGGCCTGAGGCTGCCTAGGTGTGGGGGCGAGGTGATATAAAGGAGCTACACGGAGCCCTCAAAGGAAGGGGGATTTGGGTGCCCTCCTTCTTCCCAGGGCACTGACTCTGCAGCCAGGGGTGGTCACACCTGTGCCCTCCACCCTTTGAGTGGCCAGGATCCCTGGGGGTAGAAGGCAAGCCAGGAACTAATGGGCAGACAGGGCAGGCCAGGGTGCCCAGGACCCCCTGCCAGAGAGATCGGCATGAGGGGCACGGAGCAGAGAAGCGGCAGTCTTGATCCCACCCTCCTCCAGGCCCCTCCAGGCTCCATGGCTGCCTTGGGCTCTGTGGAACCTGGCCTTCCTCCTTTCCCTGCTCAGAACACACGATGGGGGAGAGGGGGGCTTGCAAGCCCAGGAAACATCCCGAGCCCAGCCCAGCGGCTTCTGTAAACATACACAGCACTGCGGGCCACCTTGGTGTGGGGTCACCCCAGGGGGCTGGCCAGCAGGCACCAGATCTGGGGGGTGGCCAGGGCAGATGCCAGCCTGGACCACAGACGTGAATATGTGGGGAGAGGGCTGCTCTCCATCTGGGCCCTGGGAGAGCAGCCAGAGGGCAGTGATGGGGAGTCAGCATGCCCACTGCCGGTCCTGGAATAGGGGGTGCCGGGATGCCCTGTGGGGGACAGGCAGGCCGAGAGGGCAGAGCGCTGCCCTGCCCACCGGGCCGGCTGCCCCAGGCTCCCCCCTGCATCACACCCCTCCCCAATCTGGAGGACCCAGATCCCAGCCGCCTGGTGGTCCTAAGCTGAGGTAGGGACGTGGACCCCCAGCTCAGCAGCAGTGTCCCGTGCCTGAGGCTAAACCGGCCCCTGGGGGCCTCTCCTCAAAGCGGCCTGGCCCTGGGGGCAGCCACCAGGAGCTCGGGGGGCCACCTACTCTGGCCTGGGCCTCATCCGGCAGCCACGCCTGGGGTGCTAGCGAGCCGAGATGACCAGGTCGTCCTGCTTGGCGGGGCTGGCCCCTCGGTCGGTGGGGGTAGAAGTCCGGATCTTGTCCACTGCCAGGCACTCCTGGCTGCTGAGACCCGTGGGCGACAGGTCCATGGGCTCCCCCGAGGAGCTGAGAGGGAAAGAGGGCGAGAGTGAGATGCCCGAGGAGGGGTCGGCCGAGCCGGCAAACAGCCTCGGGGGCTTGGGCACCAGGTTGGGCTCGAACTGGGCGCGGAGCAGGATCTCTTGCTGGCTGGGGGACTTGGGGCCCTCGGCGTAGTCGCTGGTGGGGCTCTCGGGCACCACCATGCAGTAGAGGTCCTGGAAGGAGCTGCTCTTACTGTCCAGGTTGAAGAGGCTGTCGATGAACTCGGCGAACTCCAGCACCTGAGGGCTGGGCGAGTCCCCCAGGCGCCCGTTGTGCAGCGCGAGCTCGGCCCCCGGGGCCACCCCGCCGCCGTCGCCGCCCCCCTCCTCCTCCTCGTTGGCCGCCGCGCTGGGGGGCCGCTCCGGGGTGACGCCCCCGCTGCCCAGGGCCGCCTCCAGGGGCTGCGTGTCCTGGGAGTGCTTGGACAGGCTGTCGGCCGCCAGCAGCTCGGTGCGCGAGCTCAGGGACGGGTTCTCCTCCGGGATGGCGGGGTCGATGTAGAAGAGGTGGCCCTCGTCGCGCTCCAGCACGGCGTGGAGGCTGGGTGAGCCGCGGATGCTGCGGAAGCCTGATGAGCGGCGCGAGTCGAAGCTGTACAGCGACTCGGTGTCTGAGAGGCTCTCCATGGTGGCCAGCGGCGCCCGCCGGGCCTGCAGCTCCGCCGCCAGCCGCTCCTGGGTGGACAGCAGCAGCAGCTCCACGGGGTCCTGGCGGGCCGCTGCGGCCGCGGCCACCGGGGACAGCAGCCGCCCCTCGGAGAAGCCCTCCAGGCTCACCTCGGACTGGGACTTGCTCCTACAGAGGGGAGGGCGGGGCAGGGAGGGGCGTGAGAGTCAGGAGGGGCAGAGACTCCTCCCACTCGCTACGGGCGGGAGGGAACTCGGGGAGGAGAGGAGGGGAGAGTCAATTTCGCGGTTGTTGAACGGCCCGGGGCAGGGACCCTTATTTTTTTTCTTTTTAAGTTCTTTTTTATTTATTTCTTAAAAGGGCTTTTTAAAAGTTTATTTTGAGAGCGAGCGAGAGAGCGCACAAGGAGGTGAGGGGCAGAAGGAAGGAGAGACACAATCCCAAGCAAGGAGCCGGATGTGGGGTTTAAACTCAAGAACCCAACCGCGAGATCATGACCTGAGCCTTGATCAAGAGTCCGACCCTTAACCTACTGAGCCGCCCAGGCGCCCCAGGGACCCTTACTTATTTATTTATGTTCATTTATTTTGACAGAGCGAGTGAGCAGAGGCAGGGCAGGGGGAGAGAGAGAGAGAGAGACAGAGAAGAGGAAACAGAGGATCCGAAGCAGGCTCCACACTGTCAGCTCAGGGCCTGATGTGGGCCTTGAACTCACAAACCGTGAGATCATGACCCGAGCCGAAATCAAGAGTCTGAGGCTTAATCGACTGAAACACCCAGGCGCCCCAGGGACCGTTGTTTTTTAAAAACAACTCCTGTTTGGCTAATGCTGTGGGTAGGGAGCCCTGAAGGCCTAAGGCCCCCGCTGGGAGCACTGCTGGGGCACCTTGTACCTGTGGGTAGCCCGAGACTCAGAGAGACTGGCTGCCCCAGGTCACTCATGAGGCAATGGTGGGAGGGGGAAGAGGGAAGGGGGGAGGGGAAAGGGGGAAGCGGGGAGGGGGAAGGGGGAAGGGGTAAGAGCACTGCCCAGAGCTGCCCCCACAGGTTCTCAGACCCTCAGCACCAGCACCACCCTTCCCCACCCCCCTATCTCCCCCCACCTCTCCCAGGACTGTGATCACTTTCTTCCTCACACTGGGGTTCCTCCAGCCTCTGCCATGGGTTGGAGCCCTCTGCGGAAGGGACTGGACCAGGCAGTGGGGGGGGGGCGGGAGGGGGGGGCGGTGATGCAGCCGCTGCTGCGAGGGGACACTGGCTCCCTCATGTGGTCATGTAGTTGTCACAGGAAATGCACAAATGGGAGAGCGAGAGACGTCCAGGTGTCCCCGCCAAGGGCCAGGAAGCAGCGACCACCCTTCTGAGCAGCCTCCTGGCCAAATCTGTAACCTGGGCGGGCAGGGTCCCAGAGAGCCAGGAAGACTCCCACCCGCCAGGAGCCACCGTGTAAGAGCCACCCCCTGGTAAGAGTGTGCATGAATACGGAGTGTGGGTGGGCCTGGGAGCATGCATGCACGGCTCTGGGTTCTGTGTACGGCAGGCACACCAAGCGTCTGTATGTCAAACATGTCAAACGTGTCTCCGTGGTTCGGTCTGGGCACAGGTGCACTCACACATTCACGTGCACGGCTGCCTGTCCTGGCGTGGGCTCTCTGTGCACTTAGAGCTATTTGTGAACACGTATGCACACGTGTCCGCTTCAACACAAACACATATGTGTGCACGTATGTAAGTGCATGGGTATCCATCTGTTTGGGACCAGATGGCCACGAGCGAACCTGTGTGCTTGTGGCCGTGTGTCTGTGCGTCCCTAGACGGCCACTATCCCACGCGGGCTTCAGTGATGGCAGGCTCGGGGGCAGTGGGAGCTGATCGGGAGACCCTGAGCAGAGGGGATCGAGATCGAGTTCTCCTGTGCACGTGCACAGAGCTCCGTGAACACGTGGGCCCAGTACGTGCACAGAGTATAGACGCGCACAGACATTCGTGCTCTGGGACACACTGTGGCACCTGTAGCGGCCTCTGGGGTGGGCTGGGGCTGGGCGCCTGGGGCTCACCTGACGCTGCTATTTCGGTGGTCTGCGGTGGGCAGCTCTAGGGCGAGGCCGGCGGGCATGGGTGGCCCTGTGGGCAGCGGCTGCTGCTGGAAGATCAGCTCGGGAGTCAGGTCCACCTCAGTGGGGC